CGCTGCGGAGCGCTGGGGGAGCGAGCGGGGGCCGCCGGAGCTGGAAGATGGGCGGCTCTAGCAGCAAACTGTGCTTCTATTCGCAGTGTGCTGCGGCAAGGGTAAATTAGTGGTGGTTTTTGCGGCACTCTTCCGACGGCGGGGAGCTGGACGGGAGCTTGTCCGCCAGCAAGGTGAAAGCGCTGGAGCTGGTCACCTGCGGGCTGTGGCCATGAGCTGCCGGTCGCCGTGGCCGGCTCAGCCGTGGCCCTGCCCCGCTCCTCCCCGGGGTGTCTGGGGGCAGAGGGGCCTGACGGGCCACCTTTCCCTGGGTGAAGCAGGGAGATGGGTGCTTCTGCTTGCTTTGAGCGCGGATAGGTTCTAATTTCTCCGTGTAAGAAACAGCATAGATTTGAAAATTAAGTACAGTGAGTGGTGGGGTGGGTGGTGTTCAACTTTGAACAGGGTTGTTGTGCCTTTCCTTCATGGAAGACTGAGCATTTAGCAAAGTTTTTGGTTCTATGTTTGAGTAAGCTTAAATAAATATTTAATGGATGCCTCTTTCTCCCATATTGTTGTGCCCTTGACAGCTATCAAGGGCAGCTGTTCTGGAGGCTTGTGCTGCTACACCCATCATAAAATACCAAATTAATTGCTGTAAAGTAGGATTTTAATGGCAGTGGTATCCTGGAAAAAGCTCTTCTTTGTTTCAAAGTATCACTTCCTTAACAACAGAGTAACATCTGTGTATTTTGTAACAGCAAAACTGTTATCCTAAATGATTCATGTTTTGGCTTCTTGCTCCTGTCTCTTGTTTTCCTACAGAACACATGTAAGTTAGTTATTGGAAGATGCCCTGCTCTGATCACTAGTAACCAAAAGTTTGGGTTGGTTTGTTTTTTTTCTCTACAGAGAGATGAAGTACTGAAACAGCATGAAGACTTATCTCAAGAACTACTTAACCTTCGAGGAGAACTAGGTAAGAATTTATTTTTGTATTCTTCATGAGAACAGCAATGCAGCAGAACAGATCTGCAGAAAGACAGATGCTCTGGTATTGTAATGGCAGTCATTTAATTCCCTGACTGAATTTTGCTCAGATGCTTTAATCGCTGCATTTCTCTGGAGCCCTGACAGCATGACCCCAGGTTCATGGAATTCCTGGCACTGATCTGACTGCGCCTAGCGGGGCCTCCTTGCAAAACATGCGTCTGATGACCAAAGCACTCACTTTCTTAAAAATGGGAGGATGGCTGACTAGTGTATATATACTTCTGTTTCAGCTTTAACTTACTTGTACCCTGTCTTCTAGAGATTTGCTGGAAAAAAATCATAAACCTGTAAAAAATACTGTATAAAATCTGTTTTTTGCTATAGTGTAATGAGTGTAAATAGTGATTGAGTGTAACAATAACAGAAGGAAATGCTATCAGGTTAATGAGATTAAATCTTTGAGCTCATCCTGGTGGGCAGCTATAATATGAAATTGAGCTATAATTTGCAGGGGCTGGTTTTGCCTGCTTTGAAGCTTGATTTAAATGCATTTGATAATAACATCATATAATCCCTTTGAACTCAAAGCAGAATCATCATGTGGAGTGCAAAAAGTGACTGGATTGAAATTGATAGCACTTGAAAGTAAAGCTAGCGTTTTATAAAAGTGTTATAAAACAATAGGTGTGGAGCAATTTCAGATACATCACTTTTTATTGAAAAGTTAGAAACGTTTATTTTCGCATGCTTCGGAAGTTGAGTATTGTCTCAGCTGAACTGGAGTGTAAATGTAGTCTTTGCTACATTCAGGTGGTGTGTTTAATGTTCAGATTTATTTTTAGTGTTGGTTAATAAGACATGCATTCCCTGGCAACTATTTGGAGTTGGAAGTTTGGTGGGCAGAGCAGGGTCTCTGTATCCCCCCAGCTGAAGCAACAGAGCACAGCTTCTCCACTTTTCATTAGTACTGTTGTCCAACTTAGAGGATTATGTTAAAATGCAGCTTTCTGGGACTTTCATTTGATAATGCATGAAATTGCATGTGTGTGAACGGGGAGTATTGCATGCAGGGAAAGCCCTGCAGCCTAAATGGTTAGATGAGTGTACCAAAGACACTGGGCAAATGTGTAGCATTTTCTTTCTTGGAACCTTAGTACTAAAAAGCTGAGAGAGCTTGGTGCAGTCTAGCATCTGTTAAGCTGCATCCTTTAACTTTCCTACTGATGAAGCACTTGGATTGCAGTTTTGCAGTTGTTTTGGGCAGGTCTTAGTAGGGGCTAGCTTTGAAAAGAGCCTGGCCTTCCTCTGTGTTTGCATCTTTCTGTCCTGCCTTGTGTCAGCACTGCTGCCTGGGTAGCCATGCACTGAGCTGTGTGGCAAGCTGCCTGGGGACCTAAAGCAGCTGAAAACTAGGATCTTGAAGTGTTGTTTTGCCAAAGGTCCCTGGCCTGGCTCAGCATGTGGCTGAAGGAGCACCAGTGCCAGAGTGGAGAAAGGGAGAGGAGGGCTGTGTCTCCCATCAGATACAGCTGGCACTTCTCTCATCCTAAAGTGACAACAACAAAACTGGAGTATTAGTGTGGAAATGGGCTTATTGCATTTCTACAGTGTTGGGCCATAAATACGGTAAACTAGATTTATTTTTTGTCCTTGTAGGATCTGGGCAAAATCCCATTTGTTTACCTTACCATGAAAATGGCTTCAGAAGGATTGCTGTTAGACCAAGAAAGTTGCTATTTTTCCATGTGCCAGCATCATTAGTATTCTTTTTCCTTTATCAACCTAGACACCATGTTTTTAATTTCTCAGGAAAGGGAACTGTGAGGAAGAAAAGAAGAGTTTCCCACAGGAACATTCAGCTTAGATGGGCAGACCAAAAGCTAGCCAGCACTTTTGTCCATTACTGCTCTTTTGGGATTGGTTGTTGGTTTGTTTTTTGGGTGTTTTTTTTGTTTCATTGTTTTTTTGTGTATGTTTTTGTTTTGTTTAAAAACGTGGTTCTTTCTAAGGTTCCCTCACTCTTAAATGAGTTTGCCATAAACTCATTATGTTCCTGTTTCAATTAGCAGCCTGCTGAGCTTATATGTGAGATTTCCATTGCAAGAATGTGTAATTCAGGAGTTTGATAACCAGAAAATGCTTAAAATGCAACTGAACTTGATGGATCTGTGATGCCTGAGTGCATGGAGCTGTCAGCTGGAGATGCTGGCTGGTGTGCTGCTGGATGTGGTCATGAGCTGCTCCTCTCACAGAGCTGATCTTACTGGGTCAGCTCCACAGGAGCATCTGAATGTCAGCCCTGGGCTCACTTCCTTTTATAAGGTTTCCAGAACATGATTGCAGTGAAACATTTATCTTCCTGCAGCTCCTTTTGTCTTAACCATGCCACACATCTAGGCTGTCTGGACTTCTGTCTTCAGCATGTAAAGGGAGTGGAGTTAGCCACAGAAATGAAGAACAACACAGGACTTCAGCTTCTATCTACCTTTAAAAATTATTAAAAAAAAAAAAAAAGTTTTTAAAAAAGTAAATTAAGCCAGCCAGACCTCATTTGTTGACAAGGTGTAAGAAAAGCCTTCTTTGCAACAGTAGCTTTGGTTAAAAATAATCTGTTCAAATACACAGGTGCTAATCAGCTTTCTATTGCCACTGTTAAATGGATATAGCTGAACTTATGGTTTCCGTAAGCTGTTTTGATGCAAATTTTGATTCACCATATGATCTAGGGACAGACTGGCTAAGAAAGTTAAGCATAGTTTGAATCCTACTTTGGACATGTGGACATGTTTGTGGAGTCCCAGTCTGACATGTTTTTATTGCCAGTTGGGGAATAGGCAGTCTAGTTAAGAGGAGCTGGGTGACCTAGCTCTGTGTAGTCTCTGCCCTGCTGAGTTTGAGTGGAATGTGAAGTCTCCTGCAGCTTGCACCCTGCAGTTTGGATTCCTCAGTTTCTTGCTTGAAAGTTCAGCTGTGCACCCTCCCAAGCTCCTTGATTTGGCTTGTCAAATTGTCTGTTTTGCTGGGTTAGTCTGTATAAGCCTTTATACCTAAACACCTTTTTCCTTATGATGTAAATATGCAGTGATTCCAAAACCTGCCTCTGGCAGTGACCATGTGGCTGTGCAATAGCATGAGAAATATGGTCACCAGGCACTGATTTTTGTAATGATGATGTGTTTGGGGATAGACTTTTCCAAAGGAGTTCAAGCCTGTTAACAGCCACAAAGGCTAAATTCTGTGGTTTGAATGTCAACACTTGGATTCTGGAAGCTTGGAGCAGGTATGGATGTCCTGTTTGTCACCTGTTTCTCTTCTTGCTAAGATGCAAGCTAGAGTGTAAATTATTTATAGTTACCTGTTCAATTACGTAAGTAGAAATTGCAAGAGCTGCATATTTCTTCAGAGGTACGAAACTACTCCTCTAAATTAATTGCACTTCAAATGATTTAAGGGCCTCTTTGCAACGGTGCTGGCAACTTTTGCAGTTCTTTCCTTCAGCAGGTGCTACTGTTCTCATCATTTGGATCTGCTGCCATTTGCACAGTTGCAGGGAGTTGCCACATGCCTGGATCTCCAGACTTGTGTTTTGCAGGCATTTTTAAAATAGTTCTGACACACAGAGAGCGTTGCAATGACATACCCAAGGTGGAAGTTGGCCATGGTTAACTGCTATAGATGAATGTTATTTTTACCTGTCAAAATCAGTATTTCTGATCTAATGATAAGCTGTTACCAAATCTTAAAAACTTCCTGTGGTTGCCAGAGGTTGTGGTTTTGCCCCAAAAGAACCAGGCTCTTTATTTGTCATAAACAGGTGTTAAGAAGCCTAAAAATACTTACTAATCTTGCTCCATGTTGTAATAATATAGGGAGAGACATGTATGATTGGGAGGACAGGCTGGGACAACCAGGATTAGTGGATTTGCTATTTGAATAAAGAAGTAAATCTTGCTTCTGGCTGCCAAGTACACCATTCCTTATGTTCTTAAAGTTTAAAGCTATTCAGTGTTAACAGAAGAGACTGAACAAACTTAATGGACTAATGGATAGTGCATCTTTTAATCTCTGGCTTGATTCTTCTCAAATGGTCTGTAATAGTGCATGGTATAATGAAGATGTGGAATTGCAGAGGCAAGGACTTTAAGAAGGGAAAGGAAGCACACTAATTGTGTACTAAAACTCTGAAGCATGACTTTCAGGTGTCTCTGAAGTGGATTAGGAGTTGAAATAGAGATTTTGTCTGTGCTAGTGGAAGAGCACATTCCAGTTGGAAACTTTTTCTTCAGAATTGAGCACCGGTTCTATGAGAACTCTTGAGTAGCCATCAAGTTTTGTTAGTCAGGAGTTTTGCAGCATCCTCTTGCAGTGGATGAATGGCCAAATTAAGGGATTAATTGCCATTTTCATGGCTTTCTTAAAACAAGGCAGTTTACAATCTCAAATAAGATTATTCATCCTGGAGGATGGACAGGGCTGTACTTGATGTGACCACTTGCCTCTCAAGTATGGGGACAAATTTGGGTTGGCAGGACTTCTCATTTCACATCAACAATTCTTCAGTTGGTGCTTTTGCTGAAACTTCACGTGTGGTTTCTTTCACCCCCATGACACTGCAAGCTCACTGGGGGTGTGGATGGCTTCTTGTTTGGATGGCAAGGATTCAACTCAAGCTTGCAATCTGCAAGGAAGCATTGCAGCCTCCAGATTTGGGGGAGGCTAGACATTACCTTCAGTGTAACCTAACATTAAACTGCCAATGAAAGTTTTATAAGTTTTAGTTTGTCTTTGTGACTTTATTCTCAAATCTGAATTGCAGAGTGGCTGAACAAGAGCTGATGTGTCTGTTTTCTTTGACAAAGGTGTGGTTTGCTGTTTGCTTTTTTTTCTCAAGTGCTTTGCATCATCCTAAGTTCTGTGTGCTGACATTTAAAGATAAGACAATGATAGGCAGCAATTATTTTAGCTCAATAGAAGCAAATGAATGGCTCTGGCCTTAAAGAATGGATGCTTGCTTCTTCCTCTGATGGTTTTGAAGGAAGTGCATCATTTGAGGCATACGAGTTATCTGCCCCTTAGCTATACCCCTCTTACAGTGCTATAGATGGTCAGATCTGTTCTGTGTGCAGTTGGCTGTGTAATGTCTCTGTTTGGCTTGATGCCTAGTTCTTTGCATTATAAAATAATGTCCCTTACCTGTGATGTTTCCTCTTCCTCAAAAACATGACAATACAAGCATATAGATTCAATAACATTACACTAAAGCAAAGTGATGGAAGTGTGAATGTGAATACTCCTTTTTTTTTCCAAAGGGAGCAGTTAAATTAGAAGGTTGTTGGGTTTTTTTTTTGGGGGGAATACAGATAGGGGAAAAAAATCTTTCTTGGTGATGGTACAGAAAGTATAAAAAAATGTGAAATCTGCTTGGGTTGCAGAGAATGTTGTGGTACATTTCAGCTGAACCGTTAGTTGCACTGTTGCCAGTCATGGGACAAACAGCTTGGTTTAAATCTGTCCTGATCAGCAAATCTTTCTCACAGAGCTAGTGTAGAGCTAAGCCTGCTGTTAAAACTAATTCAGGCACTCATGCAGATCAATTTCCACACAGCAAAGCTCACTCTTACACTTTCTAGTTCAGCTGCAGGTTTCAAATGATGGCAGCAGGGTCAAGACTTCTTGACAGTTTCCTTAAAAGAGAGTACAAGTATTATTCATTGGGTTACTTGTTCTTGATGAGCAGCAGCAAAGAGGGAATCCAACACATAATGTAGCTAGAGGCACTCTGATAGGGCAGGCTGCTTTCCCTGAAGTTCAGTACTGCTTTGGGAATCAGTACTTAAAAATACTGTAGTTTATATATAATCTTAAGGCTGAGACTCATCTGTGATGGGAATTTCCTGTATTGCCTGTACACAAATCCTTGGATCTTCCCATGCTTTTATGTGGAGTTTATATTTGTACTGTAAAAAATCTTTCTTGGTGATGGTACAGAAAGTATAAAAAAATGTGAAATCTGCTTGGGTTGCAGAGAATGTTGTGGTACATTTCAGCTGAACCGTTAGTTGCACTGTTGCCAGTCATGGGACAAACAGCTTGGTTTAAATCTGTCCTGATCAGCAAATCTTTCTCACAGAGCTAGTGTAGAGCTAAGCCTGCTGTTAAAACTAATTCAGGCACTCATGCAGATCAATTTCCACACAGCAAAGCTCACTCTTACACTTTCTAGTTCAGCTGCAGGTTTCAAATGATGGCAGCAGGGTCAAGACTTCTTGACAGTTTCCTTAAAAGAGAGTACAAGTATTATTCATTGGGTTACTTGTTCTTGATGAGCAGCAGCAAAGAGGGAATCCAACACATAATGTAGCTAGAGGCACTCTGATAGGGCAGGCTGCTTTCCCTGAAGTTCAGTACTGCTTTGGGAATCAGTACTTAAAAATACTGTAGTTTATATATAATCTTAAGGCTGAGACTCATCTGTGATGGGAATTTCCTGTATTGCCTGTACACAAATCCTTGGATCTTCCCATGCTTTTATGTGGAGTTTATATTTGTACTGTTTGGGCAGCGTGCCAAGCTGCTGTGAAGTGTATGTATGCATGACTTCTGTATTTGAGTCAAGATCTAGTTAATACTTTAGTAGATGCTCATCTGACTAATTTATTTTAAACCAAAGCACTAGAGTCTGTATAGAAGCAGTTTTTCACAAGGTCAGTGACCACATGCTTGTGCTAGAGGTCCTGTTTCACCTCTCTTCCAGGCTCTATTCATATTAACAGTAGAAAAAGGATTTCTCCTATTCAGGCCTGCCTGGCAGGAGTTGGAAATGCTAAATTTCAAACTCAAAAGTACAAGTTGCTAACTTCTGATTTGCCTTTTAATCAGCTGTACATATGGGGAGACAAACCTAGACAGTTGCCTCAGCTGACCTGTGTCAGTCTAAACATAAAGAGAATTCATGGAGCATTTCTTTGTTTTCTTAATCTGTTCTTTCTGCCTGAAACGACTCTCTATCTTGCATATTTAAATATCTTAGGCATGTCCATATTAGCAGCACACTTCAGATTGGCAGTTCGGTATTGCTCTGTATTGGGCAGTACATGTCAGGTTAGAATTGCTTTTCTGCTGCATGCCTGAGTAACATGTTGAAGGGATGGTCTTCAGGATATTAAGACTTTCAAATTTAGCTAAGTGGTTATATATCAAGAAGTGAAGTGCTCTGACAAATACACTACTGAAATGGGATCAAATTAGGTGAAGTAGCAGATTCATTTTTTTTTCTTTTTTTTCTTTTTCTTTTTGGAGCACTCCAGTGTCTCTTGTGAGACATTCATTCTTCTATGTCATGTCAAACTGTCACACTTGTGCTTTTATATAGGTTCCATGTGCCCTTGGAGATGGTGTTCCTGTCATGGGTAAATGATACTTGTATAACCGTATTGCTGTGCAGAGTGTTCGCTATCTTTAATACTTGTAATGAAGATAGCATAATTAGCATTGGACTTAATCCAATTACTTTTTTCCTTTTTCTTCAGCAACCACTTCTGCAACTTGTGAGAAACTGGAGAGAGACAGAAATGAACTTGAAATTGCTCATGAAGGATTTTTGCAGAAGCTAAACCAGCAACATCAGAATGATTTAGCTGAGCTGGAGGAGAGGCTTAAAGAGTTTTACACTGCAGAATGTGAGAAACTCCAAAGTATCTGCATTGAAGAAGCTGAAAAGTACAAAGCGCAACTCCAGGAGCAGGTTTGTGACACTTGAAGTATAAATGTTCTCTAGCAGTTGCATTTCTAGCAGTTCTGCTAGAAGTGAGCCTTCAGAGAATGCTGCCTTTTGTTAATAATGGAGTTGTTTTATCTAATGTGAAACTCCATTGCAACTCTGGAGCTTCAGCTTATGGTTAAACATGGTGAAGGCTCCTTGTGTTCTGCAAGCTTCAATGACTTCTGGAGCCCCACTGGGTTGTTTGAGGCAGCTTATGTTTTAAGATTGATAAAGACACACCTGGCCTGTGACCTTGTCTTTTTAAAACATAATCAATGTACTACATAATGCCATTAGAACAGTATTTTAAACAAGGTTTGACACACATAAGGGGAGGGAAAAAATCATGTTGTCTTTTTGTAGGTGGACAACTTAAATGTCACACATGAAAACATTAAGCTGGAACTTGAAAACAAACACTCAGAAAAAGTAGAGGAGCTGAAAAAGGAGTATGAATCCTCTTTTTCAGGCAAGTATTTTGTATTCAAGTATTTATGCTATACTGCTGTTAGTCACAAATAGTATTCAGATTTTTTCATCAGTATGACTATCTCATTGTTCTTGATGGTCAGTTATTTTTAAGAATATTGGCTGAAATCCTTCTTTTGGAACTCCGCAAGTCTCATTTTACATAGCCATGATCCTGCTGTAGTTGAAGGAAACTTGTAAAAGCATTTAGGAGTGGAGACGACACTTTAGTACAAGATGTCTGAATTGCAATCTGCCCTCAAATTCTGAAGTTGAGTAATAGCTCCCACTCCCATTTCTATAAGAAGCACCTCAAAATTGAAGTTGAGAATAAGTAGGGTTGTGTGTTTTCCAGATTGACGAAGGAATGTTGAGAAATAATACATGCTGTTTACAGCATACTGGGGCATGAGTGGTTTTTCAGGGAGGGGGTGGCGAGTATGCTCAGTTTTAAATGATATTTCATCTAATTGATTTAAGTGGTAATGATTTCCATCCTCCTTCCAACTCCACTTTATAGCAAAGTTTCCAGTGATATTTTTGCATCATTAAAAATGGTGATGCTTCCACTACAATCAAAGAGCGAACTTCTCTGTGTGGCTCCTCCAATGCAGGAAAGGAAATGTTTTTCTAGAAGGTTTTGGAAGACAGAATTTGAATTTTTGCTGTTTCCTATCAGAAACTCAGCTTTTGTCAGATGTGGCTCTTGTGTCCAGTTATCCATTTTGTGTTGCATGTAGATGAATGCTTTCAAAACTGGCACCCTGCCAGCTAATAAAATTAATGAGGGAGGGGGCAATCAACAAATCTGAAGCAGCATCAGAGCTGATACTTTGTGCGTGTTTTGGATCAGTTGATGATAAATGTTCATTTGGTGTTGTCGTTGACTCCGCATCTGTGCGTACATGTACTGGCTGCCTTTTCATGCTGCTTTTCAAAAAGAATTTTTATGTCTTAGGCAGTACTAAAAATCTGCAAAACTTACTTGTTGCAGAGCTCAAGAGTGCCCATGAATCTGAAAGGACATTGCTTGAAGATTCCTTTAAAGAGAAGCAGGAGTTGCTAGAGGTTTGTTATGGGTTGGGGTCACTGTGGCAGTCTAAAACTTCAAAGGTAGTTTGGAGATGTGCACTAAATTCTTGGCCTGACTATACTTTTATCTTTTAATTTCAGAAAGAAATCAACGAATTAAAATGTGAAAACAATTCTCTGAGTGAGAAGTTGGAATTGGAAAAGCAAAAACAAATAGCCAAAGAAAAAGCCAATCTTGTAAGTCTTGATCTTCAAAAGCAATGCAGATGTGCAGATTTTGTAAGCCTGGGTTTATTTTATTTCTCATATGAAGGGTTTGCAATCAAGCCTGGTAGGGCCTCCATGCTTGTTAATATTTTATGGAAGAGGCTTGCCTGCCAGAAACTTTTCTCAATCACTACAATGTTGTGTCTTAACATTACCATTATAACCCTATAAAGATGTTGAATATCTAAGTCAGTGGTGTAAGTTAAAGACTAAGTTAAATTGAAGACCTGCGTTTATCCAGAAGTTGTATCATAACTTTTTTCTAGACAGTCCATAAATGTTCTCACTGTGTTATGATCAGTGTGGGCTTATATTGCTACTACGAAACTCCCTTTTTATACTTGAGTCTTTAATGCATTTATTCAAACATTGATTCATTCTTGTTGCTGATTTATCCTTCAGAAAAACTTCTATTGTGTCATAGTGCATGAAAAACCTTTCTCAGAGAATTTTTTTCAACCAAGAAGCAGCCTTGAGCGCAATGTCAGAGCAAAACGTCTAATGCTTCCCAGTGCATGAAAAACCTCCCTCATGCTTGTATTTCTGGCTACCTAGAAATAACTAGAATACAAGTAGTATTGCCTATCCCACAGAGAGAAATTCCACACCTAAAAACTCACTTAGGATGCTTCCTAAGTTGCCCCAATTTCCACTGGAATTTAATTTTATTCTCTTACTGCTTACTCTGGTGGCAGGACAGAGCTGCCACAGAAGAATGTGCAACCACAACATGGTGCTGTGGTTGGGAGAGATTATACCAAAGAGAACATGTCATACACTGCACTTGGGAGTTTGAACTGTATTCTTAGGTGGTGTTTAAAGGAGCAATCTTCAAGTGCCTTTACACAACTGCAAATGCCCTTTGCATCCTGACAGCATAAGGTACATCATAAGCTTGAAGTTCCTCTGTGAAACAACAGTGATTTGTCCCAGTACTCTACTAAAATTCTGCTGTGTTAGAATGGTCATTAGCCCTTTGAAGACAGATTATTTCCAACCCCTCCAGTATTATTTAGGTAGTGTCAGTAGATATTCCCAGCTTTTTTGCTAAAATACTATATAGGTCTTTCAGTCTTTTTATCTGGCTCTGTGTTCTGCTGTGAGTGGCTAATGTAGTTGCTCAGATTTAACCTTTAAAAGACATTTTAAGACCATTGGGACAGAGGAGAAAAAAGAAAAAAAAAAATCAGTTTTGAATGTACTATAACCTGCATTTAAACTTTTCAGGATCACTTTTCTCACTAGTTCCTAGATTCCATATAAACCCACAGAAGGGCAGAACGAAGCTCAAATTGTCTGCTTCCTCTTCTGAGGCAGCGTAGCACACCCCACTTCAGAAGGACTTCTGTTCAAAAGTAGAAATTAAACAAGAATCTCTCCCACAGTCCTTAAGCAGGCAGGAAAATGAGGCGTGTAAGTGATGAGGCCCTTGTTGCCTACTGCAGGCACTGCTTGCCAAGTCTCAGGCTTCTGACGTGGCAGTGAGACTGTTGCTCAACGCTGTTCTCTGGTGTTCTTACCCAAATGTGCTAAAACAAGTTTTGTTTGTTTTTAAAGATAAACTCAGTTATGCAACACGTTTAATCAATTGCTTTATTTTTCCTCATTTTTGCCTGTGACTTTGCCTTTGAAATGTAGAGAATGTTTTACTTAGTGGTGTTTGAATTGAGTCCTTACTCTGGAAAAGAGATCCTTGAGAAACCGGATCTGACCCTCGCCTGTCCCTCTCCACTCCCTTCCACCTCCTGGAAAATAACAAAAAACAAGGAAGAATTTTTATTAAGTCCCAACTTGCTGTGTTGTAGATAAGTAATGGATGTACAGCCGTGCAAGGTTTTTATGTGCAATTGCACTGCTAGGCTTTCAGAATAGAAAGGCAAAAATTTTCAATTTCTGCTTATGGAACCAGCTATCTGGACTCGGAACAGGGAAAATCAGCTACAGTCAAGTTCATAGTTTTAAATTTCTGGTGTGTTTTTAACTACTCCAGCATCTGAAAACTCTTCAGATGTCTATTCTAATTACCTTCTAGAATGAGTTATGAGTAATATGAAATACATTTTGGAACTGCTCGCCTTAAAGGGAGCCTTTGGGCAGTCCTGCAAAACAAGTTTTGCTGTGACAGCTCTTTAGTGCCTTCCTTTGACTCACGGGTTTTTCACATTTGTTCACAAGGTGTTTTCTGAACAGCTTCTAAGGAAAACTGCAACTGCCCACCTACAAAAGACAAAAAATCAGAGGAGAAGGTGGTGGCAGATTTTCTATTTATTTATTTACATTCTAAACTGTTCGGCTTGATTTCACCTAGAACAGGCGGTTTTGTTACCATATTTTTTTTTTTTTGGTCTTGATAAATAGCAGAGAAACCTTTAAATTCTTGAAATTCAGAGTACTAAGCTAACTCTGTGGCAATCTTTCAGAAGCACCCCCAGATAATGTATCTGGAACAGGAGCTGGAAAGTTTGAAAGCAGTGCTGGAGATCAAGAATGAGAAACTTCATGAGCAGGATATAAAGCTAATGAAGATGGAAAAACTGGTGAGTTTTCTTTGGTGTATGGCAGTTTTGGACCATGTCTCTGAGTTACGTTCTGACGATGAATTTGGGGTTGTCAGACTTATAAGTAAGGATTTTTTTGTTGTTATTGTTTAAAAGGAAACATGAAATGATGATGGGACAATTATATCTGCACTGGGCTGTAATGTAAAGAGGGGGAAGGGATCACCAGGTGCTGCAGGATGACCTTTTAACCTCTTAAGTGGCTTGCATAAACTATTGCTAAGTAATACAGGGTTATCTGGGAACCTCTTCCACATTTCCCCTCCTCTTCCCTCTTTTCTCTCCCATCCCTCAAGACAAAATCTTTACCTGCTATGTTTGCTTGAGTCTTACAGAAAACAGCACTGTCAGGAAATCATTACCATGGAAATGATCCTAATTAAACAAGAAGGGATCAAGTATGAAACGGAATAAATGTATTCATCTAGAGTTCATTAGCTTAGGAGGTCAATCATTTTAGCTGTTATCTTTAAGATGCTTGTTCAGCTTTTGGATGTGCCCCTGTGCATAATTCCATATGAAAATGCAATTTTGGGGGTAGAACTTGTAATTACTCAGCCTGCTCTTGTGTCAGGACAGGGTCTTTGTCCAGGGTGGGGCCTTTGAACACTGTTGTAATACTTACTTAAGCAAGATTTTAATGACAAGGTATAGAAAGAGGTTTGGATACAAAGGAATACATTAATGTCAATTGTTCAGTTTTGTACAAAATCACGTTGCCCTGGTCTGACTGCTAGAAAATGACTATAAACCTTCATCTTTTATGACAGACATTAGCCACAGTATAGAAGCCCTTAGAGATCCAACCATTTAAATGCCATTTTTTCTTGACTTTTTATAACATCCTGCAGCAATGAAGTGGAATTGGGAAAACAACACGGAGAGCTGTTTACACAGGGGAGCTCTTGAATTTGTCGTGTTAACATGTTATTTCTAGACAGTCTCCTGTTGGCAACAGCTTCTGAAAATGCTGCCATTACTGGCCGGTATTACTAGAACATGCTGGTTAACTAGTAGGTCCCTTACCCAGTCCTCCTGTGTTTGCCAGTTGTGCTGATTGGATGCCAAGTGCCAGTGTTACGTCAGGATAAGGTTAAGTAGGATCTATTTGCCTGTTTCAGAACAGTGAGCCATGACAGCAAGTCCGTCTTGCAGTAATCCAGGTTTTTGCACTTTCCATAACAAGGTCTGCAAATGAATGCCTGATAGCTCAGTCAGTATCTTGATGAGTGCAGTGCATGGGTTTCATTTTAAATTGTGACCTTTTTTCCTAAGCTGGAGAACAATGCAATCTTAACAGACAAAATAAAGAAGGTTCAGCAAGAAAATGAGGAATTAAAAGCTCGGATGGACAAACACATGGAGCTTTCAAGGTGAAAATGCAATTTTGGACTTTTCATTGTTCTTATGAACCAGAGAGGTTTTCCTGTGACAAGAAAGAAAATTCTTTGTAAATATTAGTGACTGGGATTTCATAGTACTCTGTAAAATAACAAGCCCCTTTCTTCCCCACTTGTATCTTTATAAATGTGCATTTGAAAGAGCAAGCAGGAACAGACTGTAAGGGGGGGTAAAGGCTCAGTATGTTGTTCAGTCCTCCATAAAGAGTATTTCAGGGATGAAAAAGCAACTTAGAAATGCCATTTTATTATAGATTGGCTCTAAGTATTACTGGCTTGTAAGCTAAACTTAGTTTTACTTACAACCACTTCAGTTGAGTGACTTGTCCCCAGTTTAGATCAGTGAAAAGACCAATGTGTTTTATCCAGAATAATAGCATTAACATGCTATTATAAATTAATAAAATGGGTCTGAGGTTCTTCTAACTTCAACTCTTGCTTAAACGATGGGATAACCCTTGCCAATTGAAGGCAACTAAAGAAATGCAGCTTCTGCATAGAGCTGAGTCTGCCCCAAGACTCACAGGCTTCAGTGTGGCCACTTAAAAGCATTTGTTAGTGTCAAATCTCACTTTGCTGATGCTTTTTCTGGTCTTTAGGAATGCTTATTTGGACTGTCTCCTGCTTTCTGCAGGCTACCAGTTTAAATCCAGCAAGGATAAGAATATGTTAAATCCTCATTGTAAGAAGTAATTTAGTTATAAGCCAATCAGTGGTTTATGCCATTCCAAACCTTTCTGTAACACTTGAGTTCAATGCTGTAGCCTCCAAGTTGGGTTGTGTGTTCTGATGTGAATCTTACACTTCCAGGCAGCTTTCTACAGAGCAAGCTGTTCTGCAGGAGTCACTAGAGAAGGAATCTAAAGTGAACAAACGCCTGTCAATGGAAAATGAAGAACTTCTGTGGAAGCTGCACAATGGTGACCTATGCAGTCCAAGGAAACTGTCTCCCAGCTCTCCATCTGTGCCTCTTCAGTCCCCACGGAATTCTGGTAACTTCTCTAGTCCCACAGTATCACCAAGATGACATCTCTTGAGAGAAGGAGGGGAATGCATTTCATTTGTGATCTGCAGAACTGATCATAGCTGACTATGACGACTCAACAAAACTGGAAACTACTTGGTGCAAAAATGGTGATAAAAGACTGAGAATATGGGAGAAAGACGCTTGTGTTGCTCCTCCCAAAAAGACTTGTTTATGACCTCTACAGACATTGTTGCACAAAGCACTTACAGAGCAAGGAAAGACTTGTTCAATTGCCTTTTCACCTAACTATAAGAAAAAGCTCAGGGGCTTAGAGACAAAGATCACAACCTTTATACTATGTTCGTTCTCACAGACACTTTTTTAAGGCTGTGTGTGTGCGTGTGCTGTGGATGGAATGGATGTAACACACTGTGCGTGTGTCTAATGTTGCCTTCTTTGCTGTGTTAATAAAGGATAAAAGCTGGAGACTATATATCGACATGTACTTTCTTAATGGTGTCAGTATGCATGCTTTTAGCAGAGAGTACCTTCACTAGGAAATGAGGAGAAACTGCCACTACTAATATAATTTCTGGCTTCAGTTTGGTAAAAAAATGGCATGAAAAGCTTTGTTAACTGACTCACTGGTATCTTGGCTGACCTGACTATGCAACTTTGAACTGATTTTAAGAACAAACTGAATTGCAGTTTGCATGGATTCTTGACTTAATATTCATGCACAACTCTGCCATTTATGAGGAGACTTTTTTTGCAGGATACAGTGGATTTTGGCTTTCAAGTCAACAGGGTCATAGTCAGAAGTTACTAGTTGAGCTGCAAGTTTAGAAACTTAGACCTCTCTTGCCTGCTGTAAAGGAGTCAGTTATTTCTCCAGAACAGCATGTCCATTGCTGAGGTCATCTGCAGAGGATAAAATAGGTGTGGATTTGAAAGCCAAAGAGAAAAACACAATAATTGTCATAATAGATGCATTCTTAACTCAGTTCTCACGAATACTGAGTAATTTGTGAATTCTGATATACCTGGTTGACACACTTTGACTTTTTAAGCATTAGCATTTGTATTAACATTCTTCAGGATTGGCCAAACCTGAGAAAGAGGGGGATGGCGATAGCTGTATATTTACCTTGCTGATTCTGCCACACCTTCTCTCTTAAGGCTGCAGGATATCAGTGTTTTGCCATTTCACTTGGCAAAAGATTCTGCAGAGTAGGAAAAAAAAAAAAATTATCCTGGCTGCTGGAACTGGAGGCTGAAGGTGTCAGCATTTCTGGAAATGTCAGATGCTGAGCAGCTTTAGCTTCAACAGGGTAATCGGGTAGCCTTGCTAGACCCTGGTCAGACCTGTTTAAGATGTCTACATTGTAGCTACTAAACACAAATTCAACTTTGCTTTAGTGTTACAAACTGCTATTGTGCTTAAAACAGCTTGGGTTTTACAGTACCACTTCCAGCACCATGGTTATGCTACTGTTTAGCTAATGCTGTTAGCTCGCTACAGTTTAACTGTTACAGTAAATTACATCTGTTGAGTTTCCTGGTGTTTTCCAAGAGCTTGAGGACAGTAATCAAGAGAATGGGAAGTGTTTAGGGAACCCAGCTGGAGAACCACTGCAAACCACTTTACCCAAGACTTGAAAAATCTTAGCTAGTAATGAGGAACACGGACATACAAACAAGACTGTTAGCAGTGCTCATGCAGTAAGTAAAGCTGTAATATGCTTACACTTGTGATTGACTTTCATAATTAAACCTACTTAATTTTCAGTAACGTACAAATGAAGGGTGCCATTTCTATGGAACATTATCCTCTCTTTTAATCCTGTTTAGGGCCCTGTACCTACCACTTGTTTGTGGGGTCAGTACTTAAAATACTTTTAGGGGGCTCAAATTTAGCTATGGAAATCCTTTGTGGGCTAAAGCTTGGCTTGAAGTATATCCTAGAACATTCTTACTTTCTTTGGTCAAAGAGATTTGATCACATGTATTTGAACTGAATACTTAAAATAAATTTTTTGTACTGATTGAAGGGGTTTTCTCCTGCTTCTGTTAGTCAAGTGATTGTTACATTACAGAATTAAGCAATAAGGGAACAGTTGGCTTAATACAGGGACCCAATGTGCACTGGAAAGATGGGGACAGACTTTTCACCAGGGAGAGCAGTGATAGGACAAGGGGTAATGGTGTTAAATGGAAAGAGGGTAGATTTAGGTTAGACAGGAGATGGGAGGTTGGAACCAGATGATCTTTAAGGTCCCTTCCAACCTTTACCAGTCTATGATTCTATATGTCTGCTGGAAGCATCCTATAGGACTCATTAAAATGCTCACCCTACTCAGGAATTTTCTTTGTGTGAGAAAAGTCAAAAGTTAGCAATCTTAACAGGTCATGTCACAAGAACTTTATCACCTTAGTTGTGATGTTAGTGCCACAAGCAAAATATGCAAGAAGAGTGCATGCAAATGTTGGAAGATAAATATAGCAGACCCCTTGGTGTAACTGAGAAGGGGAAAGCTATACCAGGCTACCAGTACAGAAAAGTATGGTATAGTAAATCATACAGAGACTGTTAATTTAGCTATACTTTCCCTCCACAATGCAGGAGACTCCTCACCTCTGAACTTGCAAAAAGACTCTTTAATGCTCTTATGATGAAATGAAGAATCCTTGTATTCCTTGTAAATTAGCCTACAGAAATGCCTGTTTAGTGTTTGTCCTGTTAGTCTTTATTAATACTGTTCACCAGTAAGTACTGTTTCAGTATTTTTCTCCATTTAATAGAGTATTAACCTTTAAAGCGTTAACTTAAATACCATGTGTTAGCAAAGGCTTTGTTCAATCTAGGAACTTTTACATATTTTTTGGTAAATTCTTTATCATAAAGTTTCCTTCAGGAAAAGCTAAAAACTGGCTCACTATAATTATATTCCAAAGGTCTAGTGCTAGTCAAGCAATTAAATGAGTTCTTCAGGTACTCAACCTTAATTAGTAGTTCCAACTCTAATGCTACCTTCCAAAGGAAGTAGCAGTGACATTAACAGCTGTACCAAATAGGTTGTTGTGATTCAAACTATTCATAACATCGTTCACCTTCCTTCAATACTTTTATCTACATTTGCTGTAAAATTTGAAGTGAATAATTTCCTTATGCTAACTGAAGACTTTGGTCTTTGTAGTGAGAAGCCTCAAGATACTTGCATGTAAACTGGTGTCATGCAATCATGCAGGAAATTCCTTCTAGACAGTAACCACTGATCTTTAAAACTGTAGCTGCCTGACAACCAGGAAATCATTCAGGGCTGAGCTGGAGCTAAAAAGGTCATCAGAAATGTGGAATAATCATTGAGCCCTGAAGACCCAAATACCTTCTGCCCATTGCTTCCTTGCCTTAAGCAGTGGTGACTGAGATATAAAAATGTGACACTACTGGCAAATTTAGACATGAGACTTTGAAGAGTCACTTAAATTTCATTTCCAGGGCTTCATTCTCCTACCCTGTGTCACTGTTGATGTGGAAATGTGTAATTGCATCAATTTGAAAAGAGTCAGGCCTGCCCAGGAAGGTTTTGGTATGTAAAATATATAGTAAAATAATTCTCATAATTTACAACTATGAGAATTACTTCGGTTGCAGGGATAAAAAAAAACCAACACAAACCACCACCAAAAGTTATTCTTTAAAGGCACTGTTTCTGTAGTTGCCATCAATCTTGAGAACTGCATGTGAGCAGTGCACATAACCACTGAACCTGAGGGACATTGCTGAAGCAACGATACAGCAATGGACTTGCATTGTCCTTTCCTCTCCTGCCAACTGTCACCAAGGAAGTGATACTACTACACAAACTGCTGTGTTGTTGAACAGGTCCAAACAGGTGACACTGCCTCCCACTTGCTCTATGCTTTAAAGGAAACCAACTCTTGAATTAAAGGCTCAAAAGCACTTTGAAATTTAAGAGGTTGGCACAGCTTCTGCAGTTCAAAGGAAATACATTGTTCTAATAAATGAAAAATGCTACAAAGGAATTAATACATTGTACAGCCTCATCCAGAAGCCTGGGAATTGTTCACGTTACTTCAGTCAGATTAAACTCTTGCCAAAAAAAAAAAAGGGGGGGTGGGGTCAGGGAATGCCCTTGTAGGTATTACTATGAAATTGTGTAACGCCTATTTAGTCATGTGGGTAACAGCTTGATACCTTTTAGCAGTGGTGTGAAAGAAGAGTAACAACGGACTGCCTCATACACTTTCAAAGTTGGTCCTAGTGTTGAGTACATTTACTTATTATTTTTTGGTAGATACCTTGTTTTTAGAGGCTAACTATATTACAGGCATCTGATGAGCGTTTTCCATGAAGCCTATTTCATGGGACATGCACAGACCCATTCAATATATGGATATTTATCATGTCAGTTACCCTGGGAGAGGTTCCTGCATGCTGAAGAAAAAAAAAAATTCATCAAGCTTGGTCAGTACTTTCATTAGCTACATTAGGTTACTGACTTATTGAGAAGCTCCCATTTTTACATTTGTACTTGCTGTATGTCACTACTCAGGACTGTATTGTACACATCTGCTTAAGGGTTTAAATTACATGGAGCAAAGGGCTTACTTCCTTCAAGAATTCACCAGAAAGCTTTTAAGAATTCTAGTCAAAAGCAGCCTGACACACGGAAGCATGCAAGCAAGGGACCGGTTCCTGATGTGCTCAGAATGAGCTGGTTTTCACATGCCTTGTAAATAAAACCACTGCAGTAAGACTTCCTTTTTTTTTTTTTTCTTTTTTTGTCACACAACTCAACTATGCAGCTGTGAATTGGAAGTCACCGTTACAGTCCCACTTACAGGGATTCTGTGCTTGAAGAAAAAACATTGGCAAGATGTCCAACAGCATTGTTACCAAGTTCTTTCCTCTGGAAAGTCTCCTTCCTTGTACAGGTAACTAAACCCAGGGTGAGACAGAAGCAGTTGCTTCTTTATCCAGCTATAAGTTCTGTGTAAATGAAACAGCTTTCTTTTTCTCCTATATAAATTAATGCAATTGAGTTGAAATTGTAATTAACCTGCAAAGAGATTCTGCTGTATTATTGAACATTACACTAATGTTGCATTTGTGGGTTTTTTTCTTCTGTAAATGATAGTATATAAATAAATGCAAGTTTTAGCTTTAGCAAATATTATTTGCTACTAATTCAGCAAACATACCACCATACATCTATTGAGGAGTGAACTCTTAGGTAGGCTGCACACGAGGTTGTAAGTATGCAACAACATAAGGAAAAAAGTCCAACATATCCAACCACTTACAAGTAGCTGGGGATACCTTCTAGCACCTTAATATTTTTTTAGTATTAACCTTCCTCATTATGAGACTTTCATTTGTGTATTTGTCATGTATTACATACATGAAATGAACACACACGGATACACACACACATTAACATTTTCATAATGTTCAGAAATTTAATCTTG